TAATTGTTGTTTTATGGCAGTAAATTTACAGTACTTTGTTAGCAGCAATAGGGAACGAGTCACCTCTTCACTGTAGTTGGCTGACAGTCAACCACTGATGCATCTGTAATCAGGTGATTGAAGCTTATGTGAATCAGTGACATTTGACCCTTTCATCAAACCCTACTAAGAGGCTTTATTGCATTGATCATAAAGGCTTCTGGTAAAATAAAATAGCCACTACAATAACCCCTGCAGCTCTCAAATTCCCAAACCCATTGAGAAGCACTTGATAGCCACCTGGAGGCTCAACTGACATTTGATCTAGAGCTTATCAAAGAGGATCTTTAAATTAAAAATAACTTTTTTTTAATCTTATTACCAAAGTAATACAGGCAAAGACATGAGAAAATGCAGACAAGCACAAAGAAAAAACAACACAAATCGCTCATAATCTTCATTCTAAAAATACACACACTGCTTTAAAAGTTGATATATCATGAATATCTTTCCATGCCAATGGTATTTCTCTGCAACACCAGTTCTCCAAGTGTGATCTGGAGACCCTGGGGGTCCCAGGACATTTTCAGGTAGTTCATGAGCTCAAAACTATTCTTATTTTAATTCTAATGCATTATTTGCCTTTTCAGTCTCCTCTCACACTGTAGTTTTTTTAGAGGATATAATATATATTGCAACAGTTTGAATGCAAAAGCAGATATAAAAATCCAGCTGCCTTCTATTAAGTTTGACATTAAATAGCACAAATGTAAGACAATCCACTCTTCCCACTATTTTTTTTTTTTTTTTTTTTTTTTTTGTTTTAAAATTTTTTTTTTTTTTTTTTTTTGGCGGTACGCGGGCCTCTCACTGTTGTGGCCTCTCCCGTTGCGGAGCACAGGCTCAGCGGCCATGGCTCACGGGCCCAGCTGCTCCGCGGCATGGGGGATCTTCCCGGACCGGGGCACAACCCCGTATCCCCTGCATCGGCAGGTGGACTCCCAACCCCTGCGCCACCAGGGAAGCCCTATATACTTATTTTTCATAAAATATGTATTCATGTTACCATATAACAGAATCTATTATTTTTAAATGAGATAATAAATAATTATTTCTTAAATTTCTGTTTTTTTTTTTTTTTTTTTTTTTGTTTTAAAATTTTTTTTTTTTTTTTTTTTTGGCGGTACGCGGGCCTCTCACTGTTGTGGCCTCTCCCGTTGCGGAGCACAGGCTCAGCGGCCATGGCTCACGGGCCCAGCTGCTCCGCGGCATGGGGGATCTTCCCGGACCGGGGCACAACCCCGTATCCCCTGCATCGGCAGGTGGACTCCCAACCCCTGCGCCACCAGGGAAGCCCTATATACTTATTTTTCATAAAATATGTATTCATGTTACCATATAACAGAATCTATTATTTTTAAATGAGATAATAAATAATTATTTCTTAAATTTCTGTTTTTTTTTTTTTTTTTTTTTTTGTTTTAAAATTTTTTTTTTTTTTTTTTTTTGGCGGTACGCGGGCCTCTCACTGTTGTGGCCTCTCCCGTTGCGGAGCACAGGCTCAGCGGCCATGGCTCACGGGCCCAGCTGCTCCGCGGCATGGGGGATCTTCCCGGACCGGGGCACAAACCCGTATCCCCTGCATCGGCAGGTGGACTCCCAACCACTGCGCCACCAGGGAAGCCCTATATACTTATTTTTCATAAAATATGTATTCATGTTACCATATAACAGAATCTATTATTTTTAAATGAGATAATAAATAATTATTTCTTAAATTTCTGTTTTAACTTCAAAAGTTTTGATAGATGTAGCACACATAAACAAAACCTCTTTGGAGCCCTCAATAATTTTCAACAGTGTAAAGGGGTCCTGAGACTGCAAAGTTTGAGAAACTCTGATCTACAATATTATTTTTTAATATCTGATTTAGCCCATTGCACTGTATCATAGTTCATTTAACCAGTAAGTAATGCTAAGAATAAGATCCTTAAAGTTAAATTTGTGTACACTCAATTATTTCTTTCGGATAATTTTCAGGGATGGCTTTTGAAATGTATACTTACTGTACAAAAATGGACTAAGCAATAATGCAGTCCACCCCGTCAGCCAATCAACTCTTTCCATTCTTTCTGTTTTCTTCATCAACCAAGGGGAATGTGGGCATTTAAGATCCTACCAGCTTAAGAATTTAGTACTAGGTCTAAAATGGTCTAGTACCATTTCCAAAGGAAAAGTACAATGGGCTCCAAGTTAACTCTGGAAACTTTTAAAAAAGCAAATTCCCAGGGTTGTGGGAAAGAACTGAGTGCCATTCTCAGTCGCCTTTATCTACAAACTAACTGTTGGTCACACATGCTTGGGCAGGCATCTCCTGCCATCTTTCCAGGTGTCCATCCGTCCTCTCCCCTGGCCTGCGACCTCCTGGACCAGCACCCACGGCGCCCCTGCCCTCTTCTAGCGCTGAGCACAAAGCCGGACGCCCACGAAGGGCTCGGCATTAAGTGCACTGCGGGACGAAGGCTCTACTCTTGGAGACCCTTATTCAGTAGGTCTGAGGCAGACCCCGGAAGCGTTTTTAATAAATCCTGTCTCCGACGTCAGTGACGGGATTCAGGTATGAGCTGCCCTGGGTACCAGCAGGGTGCATCAGTCAGTCCGGCATCCCCATAACGGGGCCGAGACCAGCTCCCAGGGTGGCTGTGAGGAGGCGAGGAGCTCCTGCACATCACGTCCCAGCTCCAGGACCAGAGCAGGGTGAGCCCGGAGAAGGGGCCGGAGGCAGAGTCTGCGGGAGCCCGAGGCGGAGACGGGGAAGAGGAAGGGGGACAGCACGCGTGGGCCGGGTGGGCGCGGCCGCGGTCGGGGCGGGGCCGGGTAGGGGGTGGGACCCTGGGCGCGCTGGGCCAGCGCGGAGCGTGGCCTGGGCGGGGCCGGGTCGCGAGCGGACAGGAGCGCCGCGGGGAGTGAGAGACGCCTCCTGGCGGGAGCTGGCGGCGGCGGCGGGAGCCGAGGGGGGCGGAGGGAAGCGGGGGGCGGGGGCGGGGCGGCG